AACACCCTGCTAGCTTTTCATTGTTGTTTGATAAGAAACAACTAAGATTTCAATAGTTGGGCCAACTGAAGTGAGAAGGGGCTCGTATAAGCTTAACCTGCTGTCTGTGTAAGATACTGGAAAGGATGATTTGTGAACGTTTAAAGTGGATTTTGGAAAATGGTAAACTGCTTGTAGGACACCAAGCAGGATTCAGGAGGTTTAGATCCACATTGGACCAACTCGTGTACGTTGACGACTTGATACAAAATGGCTTCAAAAACAGACAGCATACTGTGGCTGTGATGTTTGATGTAAAGAAAGCATATGATATGACGTGGAGATATGATATCCTCAACAGTTTCATCGCTGGAGAATTAGAGGAAATCTACCTATATTATCATTTTTGACAGGTCGTCTGCTACAAGTACGAATAGGAAATAGCTTTTCTACACCACGGATCATGGAAAATGGTATCTCACAGGGATCAACCCTCAGATGCAATCTTTTTGCGATAGCAATAAACTCCATCACTGAGAATGTCAATCCCCGATAGAAGCATACTAACTATAAATAAGCTATAGGAACTGAGCATTGCGATTTTTTTGTATCAACAACGAAAGTCTGAAAAAACCCCAACCCCTACTGTGCGAGGCAGTGGCAAATGCTTGTTCCGGAAGTTGTTGTATCCAGTATACAACTTCTTCCCGTTCAAGTGATTGTACGCGCGTTAAGGAATACCTCAGAACCGATTGCCGGATGGCGGTACAAGTCCGCCAACGGGCCACTTTAGGTCTATTCAATATCATTAACACGCAAATTAAAGGTGATAGACAAGGGCCAGTCGAACGAGGCGGTTCCACCCGCTAGCTTTTCCCAGGGTGTCTTATAAATGTCCGCATGTTTTGACACCTAAGCTATGCAGCGGTTATCTTCCAAAACAAATAAATTAATGATGGTGGATCCCACGAGTACTAAGAATTCCGGACGTAAACTCACTTCATTCTCGGAATGCACGGGTGGAGGGTGGACTCGAGGAACATCGAAGATAAAATTTGTTTCGCGAACATCTGCGGGATTAACAGCAACATTGATGCTGTACTTGCAATCCAATCGTCCTGCCATGCTTTTCTTGGCGGAGACAAAAATCTCAGAGTCCGCACCCATTAACCATCTTAGCTTCTCAAATTACGAGGTACACTCCAATCTAAGAAAGAACGGAGTTGTGGTCTTTTTCCGCAGCAGGGATGTTTCTCTGGAATCAGAGTGGAAGGATATTCTGTGGCTTCGCCTCAACTCAACTTTATTTGCTGCCTTTATCGCTCTCTCTCGGACCTTCTCAAGATCGACTTCCTGAACATCAATCATCCCGCTTCAGAGCTGGTTCTCCTCGGTAATTTCAATGACCATAATTTGCTTTGGTTGGGTTCAAACAAGACCTATGCAACAATTGGAGCATTCGCTTTTACTCAAGGGCTGACCTAGCTGGTGACAGGCCCTACTTTTTTCCCCCGCGTCTCGACACATTCCAGTAGCCTGCTGGATCTCTTTCTGACCATGCATCCTGTCTCTTACAGCACTGCTGTCCTGTCCCGCCTGGGTAGCTCAGACCACGGTGTTGTGGAGGTTACGTTTCGGTCAGAACCCGCTGTGGTAGCAGAAACTCGCACAGACTGCAAAATTTGGCATTACGGACATGCCGACTGGGAGAGGCTCGGAGACTTCTTTTCTACCTTTCCTTGGAGAGATGTCCGTTTCACTGACGCGGATGCGTCGGCTGTCTTTTCTTCGATAACCAAAATTATCCACGTCGGAATGGAGGAATACATCCCTCATACAGGGAAAGTGCGTAACCCAGGGTCACAGCGCAATGGTAGTCAGTCTTTCTTGACGCTGATTGAAAAGAAACTCTCACACAGTAGCCTTCCACCACTTACGTGTCAGGATGGAACAATTGTATCGGACTCAAAGGTCAAGGCGGAAGTCCTAGCCTAGATCTTTGCTGCCAACTCCACCATGGACGTCCCCTCCAACGCCCAGGTGTCGTCAATTCAAAGGGTTCCCTACACTATGCGGGAAGTAACATTCAGGTATAAGACCGTGAGACGAGTGCTCTTGTTGCTCGACATCAACAAAGCTTCTGGACCAGACTTGATTCCTGCCATTGTACTGGAGAGGTGTGCAGCGGCGCTTGCTCCAGTTCTTTCGCGTCTCTTCCAGATACCTTATGAATCTGGCACCTTCCCAGAAAACCGAAAATTCGCTCATGTCCAACCCATCCCAAAAAATGTATCGAAGACCAACCCTTACCACTACAGGCTTATAGCTCTGTATTCTGTTATAAGTAAGGTGATTTAGAGGTGGCTAAATCGCGAGCTTCTTGACTACCTCGAACGTCAAAGCTTGATTAGCGACAGGCAGTATGGTTTCCGGCACCAGCGATCCACAGGGGACCTCCTAGCTTACGTCATGCAATTGTGGAGTAAACTCATCCAGTCTTATGGTGAGGCTTATGTTGTTGCTCCTGACATCATGAAAGCGTTCGATCAGCTATGACACGCTGCCCTTTTAAGCAAACTTCCATCCTATGGCCTCCCAGAAAAGTTTTGCAGATGGGTGGCTGACTTGATCGCTGGCCTTAAGATATCCGTCGTAATTGACGGGTTCTCCCCTTCATCCCACAACGTCAACGGGGGTTATCCCCAGGGATCGGTCTTGGCTCCTACACTGTTCCTCTTACATATCAACGACGTCCTTTCCTGAACGATAAACCCAAACCGCAGTTTTGCTGATGACAGCACTCTACATGAAGGAGTTCGGAGTGACAGCCGATCTCTGCCGCTGAGCTGGAAAATAGAAGACCAGCTATGACTTCCTCTCTGACAAGAGACCTGGGGTGTTATCACTGCTTGGGGACGCAACAAACTTTTAAGTTTAATGCTTCCAAAACACAGTACTAATAATAAATAATAATAATAAATAATCTTTATTTCAAAATAAAAGTGCACAATTACAACATAATGTCGGCTGTCAGGTGAAATGTAAGTCATATAATGCCATAATAGCAAACAAATGCAAGAAACAAAAATAGTGTATAAATATTACAATATTACACTATGTTTGTTTCACATTTCTAGATATTCATCAAGCACATATGGCTCTAGATTCATTAGTAACTTGTGAATACATTTCTTGAACTCTTTTATATTCGACAACTTTTTAACTTCCTGGGGTAACTTATTGTAAAGCTTGGCACATCTGTAATGTACGTTTTTTTTTCGGTAACAGTTAGATGATGAATTCGGTACACAAGAGTTATATCTCTGTTCCCTGTATTGTAATTGCCTGGGATTCTTATAAAGTACCTAATATTTTTAAATGTAACAATCAATATTTCCTGAATATATATTGCCACTATGGTGAGTATTTTATTCCCTTTAAATGTTCCTCTACTTGTTTCTCTACGCGGAATTTTTAACATGCATCTCAATGCTAGTTTCTGTACCCGAAAAAGCCTGTTCATCTGGCTACTGTGTCCGTAAAAAATTATACCAAAACGTGCAATGGACTCAAAGTTGGTAATCAATTTTTAGGGTCTTAAGGTCTAGGTACTTACTTAATATCCTAATACTATAACAAGTGCTGTTTAACCGTTTTTCTAGATGTTCTACATGTGTAGCACAGGAAGTCCTTGGTCAATATACACTCCTAAGAATCTACCAGAGTCTGTGAGATTGACTTCTTCCCTATCAGCTAAGTGGATCTTCGAAGCTTCGATTTTTTTCTTTAATTTGAATACTATCGCATTTGTTTTTGATGTGTTCAAGGATAGACCATTGCGAGCAAACCACCAAAATGCTTTCTCGCATATGCTCAATGTATTTTCAGTTACTTGGTTGAAATCATGGCCAGCTATAATCACACTAGTATCATCTGCATATTGAATAGTACATACATTATTCGGGTTTGCTAATCTATCAAATTTACAAACATCACAAAGAGGAGAGGATACCTCTATCAACTGTTAACTGCGATGAGACAGCTGTTATGCCATTCTTTATGATGGAAACACTTTGTACTGTACCTTGATGAACAAAAATCGTCCTAAAGCTTATCCGGTTTCGATGGATGGCTGAGCTCTGCCAAAGAGCCATTCACTTCGACAGGTCGAAGTCCAGATCACTGAGGACCTGGTCTGACATGATCTCATATCGTTAAGAGCAGCAGCTGCTTGGAAATAGTTAGGCTATTTGTTTAGGGCTCAGAAGTACTTTTCTCCCCATGACCTTCTCAGTCTATACAAGGCCCAGATAAGGCCTAGCCTTGAGTATAGCTCACACATTTGGGATGCTGTGGCCCCGACTACATTATTTATGCTCAATGCTGACTAGAGGAGGGCTGTACGACTGATCAATCACTCTTCTCTAACAGGCAGTCTCGGGACCCTTTCGCACAGGCGGGCCTGTCGGCCATCTAGCTCTCTTGTACCGCTACACCAACACGTTTTGCTCCTCAGAGCTCTCTTCTACGATGCGCGATGTGCCTGCCAGACAGACTCGCCTGACTTTGACCTCCCATTCAAACACTGTGTCATGTTCGTTTTCGCAATCATAAACATTGCTTTGTGTGGAATGGACTGGTATATGTCTCGGAGTCCCTCAGAATGTTTTATTTAATTTTTTTGTTGCCAGCAATGAAGTTTTTTATGTTTGTATCTTTAATATTATTACACTAGTTAATTATACATGCCACATACATATATTGCATTTCTGAGGAATTCTGAGCATTTTCCATGTTTTTTTTTTTCAAGCTGGCCTTGATCAGATAGAACACAATTGATTTAAGGAGCAATAATAGGATAAATTCTATAAGTTCCACTGAAGTTGCGCCCCCCCTAGATGAAATCCTGAAACTGCCCTTGGTCTTAAGTCACTCATTCTTTATTATAAATATTACTTACACTTAACATTCTAATGTGTTGTTTCAACATAATATCAGGTAATGAATTTACAAATAAAAATCTGTGATTAATCATTCATGTATAAGTGTTTACACATGTTTACACATTGTAAACAGCATTTTAAAGTTTGATATGTTTGAGGAATGAAGTGCCATTAAAAATATTGTTTTTCATATTCAATGGAAAAATAAGCAAATGATTCATGGTATTGCCCTAAGCAAGTGTTGAATATTTACAGCTACAATTTTGGTTCAACAAATGCTGTTTCATTGCAGAAGAAGATGTGAATTGAATCAAGTTATGGTTAGATAATGAATTTTACAGTAATATTCATACTTACATGCTGGAGTTATAATCACTGTACACCACAACTGAATCCAGTAAAAAAGCACAATTGACCAAATCACAAGTCCAGGTATATATATACAACTATTATAGAAAATGGACAGCCTACCTCGTACATCGACGATCTGAAGGCATTATATTTACATATTTGGTTTAGACTAGAATTAAAAATACTATTGATAAAACTCAATGTTTTTGATAACCCCTAAATGACACAGCATTATGAATGTGAAAGTGTCACCTCTTGTAATGCTCTGTGGCGATACTGCCAAATTTTTATGTTACTCACTTTCAATATATCATCTCCTTACATTCCACAATTATTGATGGACAATGGTACTAGAGATTGCCTAAACAGTCAAGCAACAAATAGTATGGTGGCAATAAAAATGAAAACAATAATTTTGTTTACCTGGTTTGTAATGTACGAAGTGACTGATTGCTTCAGGGTCATCCACATCTTTGAACAGCACAGCTCCAGCTACATTTCTCTTTTTGATAGAAACATAAATCCTTTTCTGCTCGCCAATAGGTAATTTGGGCAGTTCTTTGGAACCCCATACTCGGCTACATACAAGAATCAATGATCATAATGTTATTTAATATACCTGGCTTCAACTTCATCTTACCTTTTTCTGTATGAGATCCTAGAAATTGTTTGGGATTGTTGCATCTTGAAGAACTTTCACCAGTGTTTTTTTTTCACGCTTTCACGGTACTGTTGATAGTGTTGATGAAGGTGGGTTGTGGGTTCATGGGTGGGTAACTAGTAGTTATGTCAGATATTTCACGAACTGTGATCCAGTAACTGATATCTTGGAATCACGGATAACGGCTGTTACTGAATGTCGTGAAAAAGCGTGACGTGATCACGACTTCGCAAAGCGCGCTGCCGAGCCAACATCCGCCCGGCACCCGCGTCGCCGAAGATGAAGTGGGATGGGATCACGATCACGCATCACGGTTCACGGTATCAACGTTCACGGCACTGTTTGAATTTTGAATATGCAAGCCGTTCGCATGCGTCGCGCGTGGCGCATGCGGGCTGCCGTGAGGTCGAAAATCGTAAGCCGCCGCATGGCCTGTAAGCGATATTGAACATTGTAACAGTACAGCGTAAGGGGCAGTGTAAACCAAAACAAGCTGGATTTTAGGTTACTTTGAGATTATTTTCGCCTGCAGATCAAAACGTGATACCATGGCGCCAATCTTGAGAAAAAAATCAAGCGAATTGTGGCAATTTTTTCAGCCGATTGACGAAAGCTTTGCAATATGTAATATGTGCAAGTGCAAATTTTCGTACAAAACTAGTACCAGCAATTTGAAAAAACACATAAACAAAAGACATCCCACCATTACCCTGAAATCAACAATCACCGCTAGTGAGAGTGATACACATATATATCGCAGTAAGGTAAGTGAATATATTTTAGACTTTGTTTTCAGCCCTACATTATGGAGTGATTTTAATCTCTAAGAGTTTTGTTTTGGTACTATAATATTCCAATAATTTTCATGGATTTTTCATAACTTATTATTTGAAGTCTGTCGTTTGTGGAATACTACATATAAATACACAACGGGGATTTGAATCCTTTCTTTTTTTTTCAGACAGATAATGGAGAATCTATGGAGAGTGCTGTTGACAATCACCCATCTACCTCCAAGCAAACTCAGATAGCATGCCAAGCAAATGCTCCAATTAGAATCACTCAAACGAAAGTTGATAGTTTTTCAAACATATTGCAAACAAAAATTAGTGCCAGACAGAAAAATAAAATTGACAGGAAGTTACTTTATCTTTGCGTGAAAGATCTTCAGCCATTCTCTATAGTTGCTGATACTGGCTTCAGGGAATTCGTTGCAGCCCTCAATCCATCATATCAATTGCCAGAAAGGCGCATCATTTCAAAAACATTAATTCCGGCACTTTATGAAGAATGCTTGACCAACACAAAAAACCTGATCTCAACTGGAAAAACACTTTGTGTCACAACTGATGGTTGGACTTCCACAAATAACACCAACACTAGCTATGTTGCTGTAACTGCACATTTTTTAAACAAGGAGTATAATTTGATATCGGTTCTCCTTGAGTGTTCTGCATTTGAAAAAGGTCATACAGCTGAGAATCTAGCTGCATTTCTCCTAAATGCAGCCACTAAGTGGGATATACAAGACAAGATAGTTTTTGCTGTATCGGATAATGCAGCATACATACAAAAAGCTTTACAGCTAGTGAAATGGAAAAATATGGGATGCGTTGCACACACACTCAACCTTATAGTCAAGGATGGATTAAAAAACGAAAGGATCACATTGATTAAAGAAAAAGTTCGAGAAATAGTACGCTACTTCAAGAAAAGTACAATTTCGAACAACAAACTCCTGAGGTATCAAGAAAACACGGGAATCGAAACTCCTCTTAAAGTAATTCTTGACGTGGCTACTCGTTGGAATTCAACTTACTATATGTTAGAGAGGTTTATTCGGCTAGAAGAAGCCATTAAGAGCACTGTTGCTATTATTGACAAGGAACTACCTGTGATAAATGTAGAGGAATGGAACATTATCAAAGAACTATGTCTTGTGCTGAAACCATTCGAAGATGCGTCTAGAGCTCTATCTGGAGATACATATTGCACCACTTCCCTTGTGATACCCATCTGTTCCGGCTTACAAAACGTATTTGTGAAATTGGTGAATCAGAAGCGGTTCACAGCAACAGTCAACAATGTGGTTGAAGTTTGGTACTCAGGCTTACAGGAACGCCTTGGTAATATTCAAAGGAGTGGTACCTTATCTAATAGCACGTTTCTTGATCCCAAATTCAAGGATATTGCGTTCTTTGACAAAACTGCTGCTGAAAACACGAAAAAAAGATTGATAGAACTAATAGCAAGGAAAATACGAGAAGACAATTCTGAGCTTGGAAATCACGTAACTGAAAGCTTAGTTAATGAGAGCAAATCGTCATTGAATCAAGAGGAAGATGGAGAACTGTCGATTTGGGGAAACTTCGATAAAATCGTTGCGAGTGCTCAACCAAAGGGAACATTCACTTCTCGTGCAATTATCGAAATGCAGAGATACTTGGAAGAGGAAATCATCCCTCGAAGAAGCAACTCCTTTCTCTGGTGGAGAGAACACAGACAAATGCTCCCATATCTATCCAAAATTGCACAGGAACAACTGTGTAACTTAGCTACTTCAGTTCCCTGTGAAAGGCTGTTTTCGAAAGCTGGGCAAGTTATAAGCGACAGGCGAACTAGGTTGAGCACCAAAAATGTTGAAATGTTATTATTTCTCAACTCTAACATGAAGTACATGGCAGACATTTAGTTATTGCTTTTACTATTCTATAGTATGATAGAACATTCTATTTATTTTTGTTGGCTTTTGAGACTTTATACGTTATATAGTACTAGAATACCATTTATATATTTATTTTTGTGGAATCTCGTATTCTTTATTTTTGTTTGGTTATCGTACTCGAATGTATTTTGTCATAGTAATATATTCAACAAGTTTTCATTTCAGAAGACTATTATTATACATATGTACCTAGTATCTACATATTTCAAACGCAAACTTAAGTGTTTGATGCTACTTTATCACAGTGAGCTCAGGGTATCAGTTAAGTCATACCCTACTCGTTACTCGAAAGTCGTGATCACGTCACGCTTTTGAATCACTGATATCAAAAAGTCACGATCACGGATATCAGCCACCTCTAGTAACTAGCTAGTGATTTCCAGTGGTGGTCAAACGTTTTGGTGACGTCACACCCATTTTTTGACATTTACGGGTGGTTTCGGAACTCGTCTTACCCTTGGATAGCCCTTTCCATACTGTTCTATGCTCGTATTGACGTAATTATAATAATCAAATCCAAGCGAATAACCAAAATTTCTGTGTTATGTGCCGCGGTTACAATATGGTTCAAGATGACACACGGGTTGATGACGTCAGTTACACGAATCGCTTGAACGCGTTGGTTTTAACCGCGGTTTTGTTCCAAGTTGTTTATTTTAGAAAAGCGCGTGTGTAATCTGTGATTATTTTTATTATCACTTAATAATCGGTGCTTTTTCGTCTACAACTGTATATGGAAAGTTTAAATAAGAAACCTTTCATAATATTCATGGGAGAAATGTTTTTTTCAGATTTTTTTTTAATGATGAAACCATGGCTTTGTAGCTATGATTCTCTAAATTTTTCCGCATGTCAAAGAAAACATTTATTGATTCAGCAGAAATGATGAAAAAAGAAATTAGCAAAACCGTATACAGGTGGATATCATCTAGTGAGTTTATATGGCCATATTTTAATATTCTTGTGGTATATGGCTACACAGGATACTTTGTTAAGCATAGCACATTTAAAATGTCCCCAACAACCGTAATGAGTATAACTAATAAGGTGCTCCACTTTATGGTAAAACTGAAGTCAGCCTGTATCATTTTTCTCAAAAATGAAGCTGAAGTACAATAACAATATCCAATTCCCGGCAAAATTCTATCTTGTCACATTTCAAATGATAACCAGAAATATAAAACTACTCTTGAGTTGGGTAAATACCACAATTTTGCGGTGATAACTATGACATATAACAGCTGATTCGTGACGTCACGGATCTTATAACCAAACTGATAACTACACTCGCTTGAACGGATTGGTAAATACCAACCCAAAATGGTAAATACTATTTCCATTTGGTTATCCGCTTGAATTTGATTAATAATTCTGTGGTGTCTCGTGTTCCATGACGATTTACCAGTGATAAACCCTTCTAGAGATGGGAAACTCCAATACTAAAATAAGTTACCGTATTTTTGCGACCTCTGGTGGATTGGCCGCACACCAGTGCTGAATAATGGGCCTTTCCATCTTAATAGGACAAACCTAATGGGGCTTTTTACATTCTGTTAATAATAAATCGTCTTACGTAACAAAAACACTCCAAATGGGTTAATTTCCACTTTCTTAGTCATTAATACATGACGCGCATTTCGACACACAGTGTCTTTCGCCAATGCTGGGATGAGTCGCGCGTCACGTATTAATGACTAATATAGCAGAAATTAAACCATTCGGAGTGTTTTTATTACATAAAATGGCTTGTGGAAAATCTTTCCAGGGGATGCGAAGGGAGGAATTAAAATTCAAGAAATAATTATAGTCATTTTATGGTCAATCATTCATATACAAATTATATCACCTTTTCTCACAAAGCTAAATATAATAATAATAATGTCTTTAGAAATCCATCCACACTGTGAGGCGAAGTTTATCCAGCTGGCTACTCTACCACTTAACCTCACAGCGCAGAAACACATACAAAAAAAAGATATAACAATGAATAGCAATCGACTAACTAATATATACAATAATTAAGGCTTAAATAGAGTAATCTTAAGATGTTATACATCAATACTACATGGCATGCTCTAACAAAAAAAAAAGAAATATATCAGCTAGCTTGTCTAGCAGACCCCAGACGATGGTTCTTAATGGCTCTCTTGAATGCAAATATTCCCTTCTTTTTGCAATTGTTATTAAGACTATTATACACCTTGACAGCATTGTAGGTGAAGCTACGATAGAAAATGTTGCTCCTATAACTAGGTATATTGAAGTCAGAGTTATGTTTGAGATTCCTGTAATTGAGATCCCCACGTGGTACCAGCCTTTTTAGTAGATAAGTAGGTAGCCTATTTTGATTCGTTGTACTAAAATTAGTAAATTATATGTGAAAAGCTGGTCAACCTCAATCATCTAAGCTCATTGATCTTCTTAGACACATGGCTAAACTTTCGCAGACCACGCATGTATGTTAAGCGAGATAAATGCGTAACATGTTGCTTAAACCTCAAATCTAAATCCATGATGATCCCTAAATTCTTTGCATGGTCTACTATAGGAGTATGGGTGTCGTTAAGACTAGGAACAATTCGGCCATCTAACCATTGTACTAACAGTTTTGGGCCAAATAGCATGGTAGAACATTTTGAAGCATTGATCTTCAGACAATGTCTTTTGCAGTACTCTTCAATGTTAACTAGATCTAAGTTCAATTTATATGATGCTGAGGAGTATAAGGATATGTGCAATTACTCAAATATTTGACGATATCCCCTACCACTTTGTTTATGAAGTATAAGTCCCATCAATTTGTCTTCTAGGTTATATCTGCGTCCCTGTGATTTACTACCAGCCAGTGTGATGTGGCTTTTGATAAAAGTAGCTACAGTGCTGTCCAAATGCTGCAATGCCTCATTTAATACTTCTCTTGTACTTCTGGTACTTCTAATCAACCTCCTTGTACATCTTAGTCTTCTATTAGCTCTAGAGAGGTGACTGGCTATCTTACATAGCTTCTTAGCTTTTGGACTTAAGTGGGTTTCTCTGGTTACATGTAACTTATGCAATAATCCAGATTCTGTTCTTGAGGAACCTTGAAATAAAGAATGAAATTGATATTATATTACATATATGTTCAGAATCCATTACAACTGTATTTCTACAAGACAATAAATTCAATAAAATGTTCCATTTCTAATTATAAATGCAAGTGCTTGATAGTCAAAGTTGACCAAACTTCCTTTAAAGTTTATATCATGCTGATGTGATTTGAAATTAAAATTATTATAATTAGTATTTATTGTTATGTATAGAAAACAATTTTGTTTTCAAACTTTCACAATTTTGAAGAACTTCTAGTAAGATTTGCTTTTTTGGAAAACAATGTTTCCCTTGGTATAATAGGCTAAGAGATTCATGCAAAATTACTTTACTCACTTGCTTCTGAATAATGCTCCTCAATGGGTTCTACTGTAGTTACATCAAGATTTCCTGGTTGTGAAGTTGTAACTGAGCAAACTTCTCCCAACTGTTGATATGATGCTGAAGTTGATGGTTTTCCTGTAACCACACAATTTACACTATCAAAAAAAAAATACATGATCAATTTTATAATGTTTCATACAGTTGCTGTGCTATCATCAATAAATTGTTTTGGAGCACATTCTAGGAATGATTGAAACAACTACCAATGAGATGTTTGCAGTTAAGATAATGCTATCTCTAATTTCCCTGTATAAATATTCACCTTATAACATTCCTAGTGTTAACTGGAGCTCAGTCTAACTTATTCCAAATATAAATGATTACCATCAATGAGTTGAAATGAGTTTTAAATGGAAAATATTAACTATATACTTCGTTTATTGAAGTCAGACACCAAACCCAACAATGTTCACACATATTTTATGTAACTTGCTACATGCACTGTGTTGTCTGTCAATGCCAAACTAGGAGGGTGGAGCAGGAGACAACACAAAGGTGCATGTAGCCTCACCAGTCATGTAAAATATGCATGTATATGTTTGGATTTACTCTTCCTTCGATAAACAGACTATAGTTATGTAGTATCAATCACTTGTACTAAACACTGTTGAAAGTCACTACTTATAACAGTTTCCAAAAAGCTGAATATATGTAAGTGAAGTTGAGATATGTAAAATTGGATGATACTAAAAATAAAACAAACCAACATACCAAGAATTTCATCAGTCGTGTTGGATATTTGTTGATCAGGAAGATTTAGTGATGGCACAGCATCCTTCCTAAGTCTGTTGTTACCATAATTGTCTTCCAGTGTGAAGTGAATACAATCCACCCATTGCACAAAAACATACATAAATTTCGTCGGGTTTGGAAATCTATGTCGTACTGTAACACTGTCCTGACAGCCTCTAACTGCGCATTTGCGGTACCGAGACATGGTTTCTGAAAAACAACATTCAGTTATAAAAATATGTTCAAGTTAAATGACTCAAGGAAATAGAAATGTTGCTAGACATGACAACATAAACAAAATCAAATTTAACTTTTGCAGTTGTAATAATGTAGTAATACTGTAATGATACAATATTAAAATTGATGATTTTAGCAAACATAAGTAGGGCCGTTGAGAAATAAGCTCGGGCTCCTATGCCCAAAAATTCTCGAGCCCCCATGCCGAAATATTCTCGGGCCCTTTTCTTGACATGAGCGAACCTAAGGACGTCTATCCATCAGTTCAGTAAGCGAGCCTCGTGCTCCCCTCAGCGCCGAGCCACGAGCTCCTATCTTGTCGACGGCCCTGAAGTTTTGTACCCAACATCTTAGCCTATAAAAATAGATTATACCACTATACTTACATGCTGCAATAAACAAGCGCTGTAATCACTCAAATTTAACCACACATAAACAAAAAATAAAAGTATTTAACGGTCCACACCACCAAACACAAGGAAGAAAGGAAGCAGTGACAGCTGTCAAATATCAGCTTCCAATTCTCTGCTGGGGCTACATTAGCGGGCTACGGCGAATATTCGGGCTACGGCGATGTGTGTGGCCGGGTACATCGTTACAACGCGGTGTATTCGGGCGAAGACGATGTAACATCGGGTCGCTGTCGGTAAACTAGCACGCATCAAAGGGACTTATCGCGACAATATTCGCATGTCTGGCTACACCTGCGTTACTTCAGGGTCGTCCAGACTTTGAAGCGAGACGGATGTGCGTGTGTTTTGCAGAGATAAAATATATTTGGCCTAGGTGTTTTTGTACACTGTACGATGGAGTGGAATAACGAAAAAGTGTTGGAGTTCATTCAGTTTTATGAAACAGAAAATATTATATGGAATCCTAGTAACCCAGACCACAAAAAGAAGCATTTGGTACATGATGCGTGGACGAGAATTCAAAATAGGCTCAGTTGGCCTACCACAATAGAAGAAATGAAGAGGAAAAAAGATTCTTTGATGTCGTACTACAGAGCTCATCTCAATAAAATAAAGAAATCAATGAGGTCAGGCGCTGGCACCGACGACATATATCAAACAAATTGGTTCGCCTTTTCGGCTATGAACAGTTTTCTTCAGCCAATATATGATTGTCGCCGGACTATCGATACACAGGTAAATAATGAAACACGCCTATTTATTATATCTTATATTTATTCACATTCCACAGTGTGACTTCACAAAAATAAAAACATACTTTTAGTCTAAGCAACATGTAGCTTTTTGGGTGAAATCTGAGATTAGTCTCCGAAAATTACGATGAAGGTGTCATTTGATTCGGAAAAATATGTAGAAAGTTTAAGAAAAAATTCGAAAAGGCACTGATAAAAAGTGCAAAAGTTATAAACAATGTAAAAACAAACAAAATGGGAGTTTTGCTTTTTTTGTTGCTTAGACTATTTTTATTGACTGAAAAAATATTGAGCGAACTGGTCCCTGATCTGTGTAGGTAAAAGACCGCTCCGTCTAGCTACCGCTGGAAAAGGGCGCAACGCAGTTTCTTCTTGTTGCTCATTTCTCCATGTACCTGGAACTACTTGTCCATTTGTAATAGTGTCCGCAAAACCTGGTGGTATATATATATATTAGTTGAAGATGAACTGTTTCTTAAGAAGTTGTGTAGTAATATACAAGACATTACAACATTAGAGGCGCGATCTGGTTGGAGTGCAATCGGCTTCCTAAGTACGCGGAATACCGCAGACATAATTCCAAACACATTTTCTACAACTATACGGGCTTTTGACAGTTGCGTGTTAAATTTTCTTTTAATACTGCCTTCTGGATGATCTCCAGGGTATGGCTTCATGATGTGTGTTTGTAACGGGAACGCGTTGTCCGCTACAAATACAAACGGCATGATGAAATCAGTACCGGGAAGCACCGAAGGAGCTGGTATCTTTAGAGCATTTCTTTCTAATATTTCGAATAATGCGGTATTTCTAAACACTCCACCATCACTAATTCGCCCTTGGCAACCAACATCTGCATACAGAAACCGATATTTCTTATCTACCAAAGCCATGAGGACAATGCTAAATGTATGTTTATAATTATAAAATTCAGTTCCACTGTGAATGGGTGATAAAATTTGCACGTGTTTTCCATCAATGCTTCCAATACAATGTGGAAAGATATCATGGAACTCAGTTTCTTTTTGTAGCCATTCTTCTTCGTTTGAAGGCATCTGAAACAAATTTTATTATTATTTCAGAATGAAAGTGTACGGGAAGAGCATGCAGAACGTGACGATGAACATGAAGGGATTACAGTTAGTCGTAGTGAAGAAGACTCAACTCCAACTCCTCCGATTAATTCAAACATAACAAATAAGCGAGCGAAAATTGATTTTCCTTCAGAAATATTACATGCGAAGAGACAAATGCAAGAGGCATTTGAGCACGTGAAAGGCAGTGTCAACGACGAATATGAAATGTTTGGGAAACTGATTGCTGCTAAAATAAGAAAACTTAAAAACCCAAATACCAGAGACATTCTTATGAATGATATCCATAGCATGGTTATAAACGCAGGCATGATAGATCGGGTTCACCCAACTCATCCATATCACTCCCAAATCCATTCATCGTTACATCAGAATCAAACCTACCGGTCCCCGACTCATCCATCACCATCTCAGTTACCAAAGAACCACACATATCACTCTTCAAATCAATCATCACCATCTCCATCACCACCGACCCAAACGTACCAGTCTCCGATCCATCCATCGCCATCGCAGAACCAAACCATGCCATCTCAGAAAACATCACAATTCGTTATATCGGAGACTGGTGATATAGTATTCATATGAAAATGTAGTAGTTTTGTAGTTTTTTTTATGGATGGTATACCTTTTTTTTAATAGGAATGAGAATAGAAAAATGTTTATTTTGTTATTAATAATCGAAAAGAAAAACTCCATAAAGGTACATGTTGCTTAGACTATAGGCACTTAGTGAAATAAACTGAACTATGAGTAAAATATTGTATTTTTCTTACCATAACTTCGTCTTTCAAAACGATCAAAATACTTGCACACACTTCATGTACTATTTTGGAAATGAGTTGATGAGATATTTTGAAAAGATAATGAAGGCTTCGAAAATCATCTCCTGTCGCCAGATAACGTAGTGTTATTGCCAATCGCACTTTTGCAGGAATTGCTTTTCTGAATTTTGTATCTTTTTTGGTGATTAGTGGTGCGAGCTTTTGTAGTAGTATTTCAAAGTCAGATGTCGACATACGTAAAAATCCAGGGAATTCTATACCGGACTCTGCGGTTAGCTCAGATAACAAACGTTCCATACCTGTTCTGTAAATAAGAAAAAAATGTAAAAATTATTATTATATACTCACACCACTTAAGGTCTAATGCAGAAAAAGGCAAAATAGAAACATTATATCAAGTATTATTTTAGCGTGACGTGTTGTAAAAATTGTGCTGCACACTTACATCGTTCGGTTTCTATGAATAGTAGTCATCCACCATCTCCTCCTTCTTCTCTTATTCATACTACTTTGTACCTGATACCCGTACAAGTGTAATAAATAATAATAATTTACTGACATATAATGCAACGCTACTGCTTCCTCCATATTTTCGTCCGCACGGCTAAACAACACACAAACGAATAATCGTCGCAGTCCGTTATATGAATCTTCGCCGCTAAATGTAGACAAGAACATCGTGTATGCCCGATACACGATGTTTTTCGCGCCAACACGACACGAATCTTCGCCCGCTAATGTAGCCCCACCATTCCGACAAACGACAACAGCGATACCAGCGGCATCCAACGGATTGATCACCAACTAAAAACACTGTTCCTCATCCCATAAGAGTGAATACCCCCTGAATTATAATGAGAACAATGAATTCAATATTCCAGTGAATCATTCGATCCTCTGTAAAATGAAGGATGAGCTTCCAGCGGATCCAACAATTAGCTTTTATGGGAGGGTGCAAAAGTTTATTACCTATATTAGGTCAGTTAAAAGTGAAATGAAAAAGGCAAAGGGCGTTAAGAAGTCCGTGATACAGAAGCAGCTATCTGGGAATGACTATAAGAGAATAATCGAAGGAGGAGGGAGGGTATTGAGAAAGATGCATACCTCTAAAAGCAAACTACATGATATGTACACAGATAACGTTGCTCTAGCACATCATGACGATAAAAGGTTCATTATTCCTAACACCACAAAAACTTTACCTTGTGGACACTCTGATATTGAGTTTTACCAGACTGACCCCTCGTTGAATGTTAAATATGCTATAGATGCAATATGATATTGCAGAAGGCGCTTTTTCTGAAAATGGTAATTTAGACTTATTGATAAAATTAATGTTAGAGGAAGTTTTTAAGTATTAGATTTAGGTTACTTCAAGCTCGTACAGGTAAATAAAAGCAACATGTAGTAAGAAAATGTGTTTTATTTCACACTTACAAAAAAAAACATTTAATAGGAATAAATAAGTCCATTTTGGAAAGCATTGTAACTGATGCATGAGTCATGAATAACTAATGCATACACCTTGGTATGGAATGGAAATGCAGATTTCCTGGCCTCAAACTCCAAAGATATGTCGACAGTTGAAAGTTGGAGATGATCAGGCTGATGACTGCAATCAATAACGAAAAGCGGATTGTCATTAAATTCTTTAATATCCATCATAGGTTCAGGAATGTTCCTGTTGTAGTATGTTCTTTGAAAGTTCTCAAATAATAAGCTGCGGTGTTGAGCTTTTTTTCGTAAAATCAAGTTCCACCTTTCATATGGGAATACTTGGTTGTTCAGCTTCAAGCAAATCGAGTTAACGTTGGCATTTATGAATTTAGTTATATCTATCGAATGATTTTCTTCAACTGTAGAATCTTGAAATCCAATGATAACCAATAGATATCTCACTAGTTTACTGGTTGTTATAATTGCCCAAACATCCGATGATGTAGAACAAAGAGATGGAAGCTCATAGAGATCCCAACATCGAAATGCTACCTTGATCCTTGAGCTCACCTTTGCAGAAACTTGACTTTGTAACGATCTTCCGGAACGATGTGTTGAACCTTCCATTCAATCTTGGATATAGTCAATTCATCATCACATTCACCTACATAACAGTTTTTGAAGGATCTAGCAATAACCAACAGAAGCTCTTTAGAATTTAGAATCCCTTTTTTGTAGTCTTCTGCGAATCCCATTATATGTTTTAGGGGTATTCTTCCACTTTGCTTTTGTCATCATATATAGCCGAGTTCTCGGCACTTAAGCCCCAACCAGTACATAAAAATGTATGCATAGCACTTTTACCATGTGACACCATCGTTTTTATAGTTGAAGTTATCCCTGGATTCCGAACTCCATAAACTTTTTCGCCACCCATTTATAGGAAAATTTCTTGAAATAAAAAGGCCAAGGCATTGTTTGATAAGTAGCAGGGTTTTGTAGCGTCGCTAAGCGTAAATCTTCCTTCAACGTAAATATAACTGTCAGCAATGTTTAAAATAAGATCTTGGAAGTTTATAGGGATGTGAACTATATCTGAATTCCGGATATATCGTGATCCATACGGTTTGTATGTGTATTCTTGTAGGCTGGCTAAGGAATGATCTATGATGGGTTCCTCAAAAACATCCCATTTCACATTTGATACGTGTAGAACCGTATTGTTTGATTAGTGTCAGCCCTATAGACTCCAGAAACTTGCGATTTTGCAATGAAATATTCGATGCTGTGTCTTTGACGATGTTTGAACGACAATTCACGGATTTTCCATTGGTTCTTCGTCTTTTATGATTAGTTGTGCGACCTTTTCCTACATTCGTCAAATGATATATATCTAGGTTACTTAGAAATCCCATCGTATTCAGCTGGCACTAGACAGGCGTCGCAGTTCTAATTTGACTATAATTTTTTCACCACGGAAATTGACCAAATTTCCGACATCATCCAAAATTTCTAGTGTGATGTTATCAATAAACTGGCGTCCACGCGGTTTAACGCTCGTATAAGTGTGCATTTCGTTGCCATCGCAATAAGCTCCTGATATTAATCCACAGTCGACACTTATTATCCTTATTATCCTGATGGGGGTTATGTTTACAGGTAAATTCGATGTGTAGATTTTGTTTCTGGGAAAAATGTTGTTCTTTAATCCAAGCAGACTTGCCATGGAATTGGACAGAGCAATATCGAATACAGAATGGAGTTCACACTTCAAAGTATGAGTGTTGGCTTTCAAAGAAAACATTTCATCAACTTTGGATTCATTTCTCTCTTTATATGTATCATTCATTGATACTATTTCATGTTGTATGTATTTACTGATATCTTCGATTTCATAAACACCTTCAGGGTTACCACATTACTCTCGTCACCCTCGTGAGTAAAGATATTTTATTATGTTGATCATCAATATTGTATATGGTGTTGTATGAATAAAAGCCAATTAACCCCAGACTATATTCCGCACATATCCAACTCGATTGGTGGATAAAAATTAGCAGACAGTTTGGTAGTGTAACCCGTTAGAGTAAATGTGTTAGACATGACTGAAGAGTTGATGAATGAAAAAATGGTCTTATATAGGAAAACAAATATTTATTGGTTACAACAGTTGTTTGATTCAGATGTATTTTTAACATTGATATCTTGCATGTTACAATAACAACAAAATATTTTTCTTGGTGGCGGTCCATCTGCTTCATCATCACTCCTGCTTATTCCATGATGTTCCCAGCAGAATTGGAATCGCTGTGTATCAGCGTCCTCCTTCAAATGCTCCGGCAGTTTGTTCCATACATGTGCTATTTCATTTGACGTGCAGCATATGAGTACCTCTTTCGGTATGTGTGCAAGTTCATCTCGCGTCAAATTCAACAGGCCTTAAGAGAGTTTCTAATCTTTTTCAATCCTTCGTGATCCATTGTCTTCAGCGCTCAGATGTTCTTCAGATAGAAATCGCAGACACAAATGACCACACCAAAACGTATTGAACTATTGTTGTCGATTATAATTGTACAAGATTATCTTTTTCGACTTGTTGGTCAATTATTGGATTAGCTCCTTGGGTGGGGGTAGATTGCCGAAACTATCATAGTACCATACAACTATCCCTCGTTTTGTATATGTAACCCAATGTGACCCATCCCCACTCTTGATATCTAAATTAATTATGACTCATTCATTCTTCAGCGGACCCTGCTCGGACATTTCATCGCGCATAAATACTCCTTTGAAATATGGTAATTTTAGCTTCCTCGCATAGTAGATTTGATCTATATTTGTTAGCGGTCGAGGGGGAGGGTTTTCAATAGTTTTTTGAATTAATTCCTTAACTTGATGAATAACCCCAATCCTTTACGGTATGGTTTCAGAAAGAGACCATCCCCAATTCGATTCACAATAGAAGAAGGTGGTGAACTGCTTTTATTTTGAATTTGTTCACGCACTGAACTAGCTGTTTTAGCAGCTCTTGTTATGTTGGCAATACCCCCGCTAGACTACCTAATGCTGAAAGACCGGCAAAAATTGGTATCAAAGGAAGGATGCCTCCAACCTTGGTAATAGGTATAACTCGTGGAAGCTGAATCAGCCGTTTTCCACCGATGGATCTGATATGCTTCTATGCTACTAATACTTTCTTGTCTGGTTTACAGTTTGAGAACCTTTTAATGTGTTTGCATACTTTATTCACTATCCCCGATCCAAAATGTACCTTTTTCTGTGATCTACTTGATTTTCTAGGGATAGCTTTTCTTCCTTTAGGTCCACGCCGTAATGCATGTCCTCCCATACATTTTCTGCTGATGTATTTTCTTCTACTCCGTCCACGACATGATGCTAGACTCATTCCTGCATGACGTTTTTCTTTCATGATATTAGTAACTAACCAAGCGGCAGCTGTTTCTCTAAGTTTTGCGTTTCGAGATGTGACTCTTTTCCAAGCTTCTTGCTCAAGTTGATAATCAGCAACGTGTCTCGCTGTCAAATCAGATTTCTGATATGCAATATCGTACTGTAAGCATGCAGCGTCTAATTTATGAATGCCTTTCTGACCCAGGGCTAACCTTTTTTGAAGACGTGGCCCTGGACCGCAGAACTGGTAATTTATCTATCAGCGTATCGACAAAACCACCACCACCACCTGCTTTTGGAGTGCTTTGACACCTTCTAATGCGAAGTAGTGGCATTTAAATAAATAAGACATAACCAATTGCGGTTTATATATTCTCAACTCGTTGTACAATGAGGGTCACAAAACAGAAACAAGAATTATGTATCAGCAATATTGATTCAAAAGTGGCGGATATACAAAACAATGCTATGCAGCGGCATGGAAGTCTCTTCCCATCCACAATCCGCCATATTGTTGGACCATCGAACTGTAGAAAAACCAACGTATCAATATCGTTACTGCTACATGAGAATGGACTCTTCTTCGAAAACCTCTATATATTTTCAAAATCATTGAATCAACCGAAATATCAGTTTATACAGAAATTACTAACTTCGATCAATGGTTTAGGATATTATGCACTTAACAACAATTCAGATATTATACCACCATCGAAAGCCAAGCCGAATTCAATATTCATTTTTGATGACGTAATGACAGAGAATCAGACTTCTGTTCTAGAATACTTCAGTATGGGTAGGCACAGATGTGTGAATTGCTTCTATTGTGTGCTGAGTTACAGCTGGGTGCCCAAAACAGTAATAAGAGACAATGCTAACATAAGTGTCTTATTCAAGGTGGATAATACACATTTATTTCATGTTTTCTCCGATCATGTAGCACCTGATATGATCTTTAGCAATTTCAAGACATGTGTGCAATGTTCTGGAGCGATAAATATGGATTCTTAGTCATCGCTAAGGATAGCGAACTGACAAGTGGTCATTACCGGAACGGGTTTGATAGTTTCATAAATCCACTGGAAGATTAGAAACACCATCAATCAATCGTGGGACTGCATCTAGTACGCATCGCAAAAGATAGCAAAATGAAACGGCAGCAGAATAACACCGAAGTGGCACTCAAGATACAGCAGAGTCAGTTCGGAAGAAATTTATTGCTATCAAGAAAGGACGTGAATTCCATGATAGTGCATTGCAGCAGGTATATGAGCAAACATCACACCGTACGTGGTATACCTGGTATTGGCTTCAAACTAACTACTAATGGTGACTATGATATTGAAAAAAAAAACTGACAAAGAGTGTTATTGATCCTGTGGACAAATACGTTGCTGTGACTGTAAAGTATATTGAAGAAACCATGAATACATTTGTATCCGAAATGGGTAAATTGATGCAACTAGCAGTTTCCAATGTATTAAGTGATTCAATGACATACTGCATCGATAAGGTGCTGGAAAGTAAACGTGACTTTGACAAAAAGTTTAACGAGTTGAGTACGATTTTAAACCTATCACTTCCATCTAAATAAACTAGATACCTGCAAATACAAGCTCATTTCATCACCGTATTCATAGTAGTGAATATGTCGATCGTAAAATGTGGTATAGCCAAGGAGCTACATATGGCGGCTCGAAGGAATTTCCACCGCTGAAGAACTATCATAAAGGGTTTCGCTGACTTGTGGCAAGCTGACTTGGCAGAAATGCAATCTTTCAGTGAAGAGAATGATGGTATAAATACATATTAGTAGTTATCAATTGCAATTCTAAGTTCATGTGGTGCAGACCAATTAAAAAGAAATATATGGTAACCGTAACTATTGCAATGGATGATATTTTACACACTGCTACCCACCACCCAAAGAACCTACAAACGAATAATGGATCGGAGTTCTACAACAGCAAATTTTCCGCTCTGATGCAAAAGTATGGGATTAATCATTATTCCACATGTAGTACAAAAAAAGCAGCAATAGTTGAGGGTGCTATCCGATCACTAAAACACCTACTTTTCACTGAATTTTCAGTCAGGGAGAGCTACCGGTGGATCAATATCTTAGCAGATGTTACTGATTTTTATAACAGGAAACACATCGTACTACTGGTGTAAGCCCTACTGAGTCGACTTCCATACACGATTGAAAGTGTACAATCATTAAAAGTAACTGGAAAAGAGAAGCTTAAACCTGGCGATATCGTCAGAGTAAGCAAATACAAAAGTCTTTTTGAAAAAGGCTATACATCGAACTATTTAACGGGCTTATTTAAAATATACAAAGTCAACATTTCAATTCCAGTTGCATCTATGTTAGAAGACCTGATAGGTGGTCCAATAAAAGGCTGTTTCTACGAGAAGGAACTAAGAAATAACAAAATTTCCAAATGAGTACATAATTGAAAAGGTGATTAGGAGACAGGGCAACGAGGTGTTAGTTAGATGGTTGGGATTTCCACATTATAAAAACTCTTGGATAGATATCAATGATGTGTTGTAGTGTTTTTTTATGGCCTCTCAGTTTTGTGTTATATTTACGTAGTCGCTATATGTTCGAAATGGTTGTATCAATAATAAAATATAAATTCTTTGAATCTTGTTTTAATAAACTAACCCAGACACTTTGATTTGTACATTTATTCAAAACCCCTGAACCTACCCACTTCACTCTCCCTCCACTGTTTACCTGTCCACAAGGGCAATATCAAAACGTTGAACCTTATTGGTTAGCATGCATACAAGAGGTTAGGTCACGCCTCCTCTCGGTATGTAATTTTGATCACTCGTGAAAGCAGTCAGGGTTCAGCTTGGAAGTTTTCATGTATATTTACTAATGATAAAACGCCTCTAACCTACCGATTGGCCGTTCACCTGTTTGTATTCACCTCCTCCCCCTTATATATATATATATATATATATATATAACTTGAGACGTGGTCATTGTCGTCTAAACCGTCCTCACTATAAACCGCATTTTTTCAAAAATGAAAGACAAAGTCCCGCTGCTTAGTTTAACTAACACAGTCTACTCCATCAATTGCAACAACTGCAACCAAATATACATAGGTCAGACCTCCAGATCTCTTAAAGGAAGGATTACATCACACAAAAGTGATGCTAGGCTTCATCCTGAAAGATGCGCTCTAGCATCTCATGTTAACACAACAGAGCATTATATGAATTACACAAGTATCAAAGTTCTTGATAAAGAAAAACACCTTTCCAAACGTTTATTCCTGGAAATGTCCCACATTTTCATGAATAACAACTGTATCAACAAAAAGACAGATATTAAACAACTGAGTGTCATTTATTCATATTTGCTAAACTGCGAAAAATTAGAGAACTTACATATCTCCCCAAATTTCGACTTTTCACAACCATAAATATAATCTGTGTTTTGGCCGATTCCACCAACAAATTTCATTCCACTCAAAATCTAATAATTCTCTTCTCACGATTTATTAATAATTGTTAATTTAAAAATCCCATTAATTAAAATATAGTTTATTCAACTGCCTCTGATCGGTTTAACAATTTCTTACATAACATTCTGAAAATCACATCATCTGATGTGATTTGGCAACGTATTGGCACACGCCCACAATTCGTTCCATCTTTCAACACAGACATTGACAACTTTCGGCCTTCTGTCAAAGGTTCATCTCACTCATTATTCCATGACCACCATTTTGTGCAATCATCAAGTGGCTTCACGACGTAATGCTCTAATGTTTTCTAAATAATTTTTAATCTATCTTTAACTTGTCTTGTCATATTTTATATAATTTTAACCATTGTACCATGTATCCAGCTCTCACCATGTTACTGGACGTTTCCCTCATCCTATACGAAAACAACAATTAGCAACATCCTCACATACTACTGTAAGTTGATTCAATTTAAATTCATTTTACACTTTTGTTGCTACTGTTATCATTGTAATTGCAGCTCCTGATGATGATGGCAAAGTCCATTGAAAGCTAGAGAGAATTAAAAAAGTATAAAGAGTCCTCTTTGCTTAAATTTTGTCGAAGTACCCAACAAAAGGCGGAAGCTTTAATTTTTCATCTATATATATATATATATATATATATATATATATATATGTAAGGCCCCGCTGATACAGGCCAACTTTGACAGATACAATATACGTTATTAGACCAAATTCGACGTTACCAGGCAACTAAAATGGTCTGGTAACGTTTTCCTATATAAAAGTGGTCACATAGGTGGCGTGATGATATATACGAAATTTTGAGGTGGCTTGAAAAATCGGCCCAAATTGTCAGTTTAAACAGATTGAGTTCAAGAGATTCCCGTTGTGGTGGCGCTCATATCTGTCTCCGACGTGTATATGATTTCATTACTTTATGCCATATACTACCAATTTTATTGTACCTGGAATTTGGCAATAGCGCACATCGCATATTAAGGGCATTTTCGATGCATTGGTACTCGATGTGGAATTTCAGTCGTTTTATTAATACTCTTGAGAATAGAAGCTTATCACAATAAATGTCTTATGGAAAATAGGAATGTATCATTTGTACCTATACGTATTGAAAACAAGAGTTTTAATTCGACTCCAGTCCGATGGAGAGAATATGGGGTGGTTCTCATCAATGAAGTCCAGGCATTCCTTTTTTCTTGGAGCTGCTTTGTTTTTAACATGGTTCAAAACTAATTGCTTGTCCTTATGTTCCCAACGCTTACGGTTATATTTCTTTTTCTTTTCCCTACAGTTGATTTCACTCTCTTCTTCATCTTTCCTCTCACACACATCTTTTGTTGTAGGGGATTCCATATCATCCTTTTCAACATTTTCTCTCTCAACATTTTCTTCTTCAACGTTTTCTCCATCAACATTTTCTTCTTCAACATTTTCGTCAACTAAGATGTCATCTCCCACCTCGATTTCTGCTAAGCTCTTACCTTTAAATTCTGAGCATTTGACATTGTTCATTAGTAAAAGCACCTTGGCTACTTTGCGGTTTGATAGACATCTTCGGTTAGCCTTAAATGAAATTATGTTATCAGCGTATATTAATAAAAGTCAATCAAGGAATAAATATCTAAATCTAAATACACTTCTAACCAAGTTCTGAGAAGCTCATTTTAAAGATGTGCCGAAGTGATCAGATTTGACTAATATAATTTGATAAAATCACATACGAGTATAATTTCAGAAATATGCTTATAATTCAATGCCACATTTTAAATCCAAAACTAGCATCAAGTAAAATTTTCCAGTACCAAAACAGTACATTACTCGTCGCATACAAGCGAAGGAGTCCTTTTAACAGGAAAGTGTCACACGCAATTTTCAGGAATGAGAATGGAAAGACCTTGCGTTTTCGACTTACAGGGTACTCAACAGTTTTTTTTCTCTCGAGTATTTCATAAGCATCCTGACAGCCTTCGTTAAAAATATGCATAACTAGAATTCATTGCCGGTTCAATCTGCGTTGAAGATTGGCCATTCTAGATCAGCTTTTCTACGCAAATTTGTTCAAGCGGCTAGAGGTTTTCTATGACTCATCATTTACAGAAAAGTCTGATTGCTAGAAAAATAAGTCCAGCGTCCAGGGTACCTGTATCTGTAGCCAAAGAGAGAGAACAAAGAGAAACCCTCATATTTCGGGACTTTATTATCATTTCTTAGTATTTGCCAGCGCTTCGGCCGTCCCGGCAGCCTTTTCCAAAGTACAGAATGAGATGTTAATTGAAAGTGATTTTTCAATTGATATGATATTTCTTCTTTATTTTTTGACTGCTTCAGGTGCAGTAAGCTCATAAATAGATTAATAAGCAATACTCGAATGAGCTTTGTTGACGAATCCAAAACGTGAAAGTTCCTCATAATCACTATGTTATTTGCCTTATGGGTGAATTAACAGTATACTTCACAGGTGGTGAAACAGAACGAGCCGGTTTGGGGTTCTACAATAAAATGATAAGAAAAAACTGGAGGTATGTGGTATAGAGAATACCGATTAGATCCTCCCTTGAAGCATATTCAACTAAAACTAAAATATAAATACAGGATGCCCCGTGACTCGATGGGCATAGCTTAAGATTACATTCCTTGGTCTATTTTAAGTCGAAATTGCTTTATACACTTTGTCCAAAACTCAATAGTTAAGAAGTTATGAGCAATATTGAATTTAACATAGTGTGTAGAATAAAATAGAGTAACGTAATATTTTTTATTTTGGCACAAATTTAATTAAAGCTTTCGTCCAAAATGTCCCCTTGCTGCCTCACAACACATTCTTGCCCTTCTAATAATTAAAGAAGTATATCTCTGAAGAGTATCTGGATTGTCTCGTATGGATTGAGTTGCTGGCATTACACATTGAATGAGATGGTATTTGGTCTGTGGATTATTTGAATACAATAGACTTTTCATGTGTCCCCAAATATAGTAGTCAAGAGGCGTTCAGCCTAGCGACCTCGGAGGCCAGAGAACTGGACCTCCTTTTCCAATTCGCCAGTTAGCAAATTTGTTATGCAGATATTCACACTAAAATGAGGTGGTGCTCCATCATACAGATCGACGAGATCAGTTTAAGGAATTGAATTAACCTTATTGGCTGTTTTTATAGAACATCTGAATTTAGACTTACCTATAAAATTCCTTGTGGATTTTTTCTGTATGACCCATGAATCTAGCTATCTGCTCCATCTCATCAAAATCAAAGCTCATCGGCTGAAGGATTGTTGCTAATTGTTTTCTGAATCTCGTGCTTGTGAGGAGATCCGGATTTCTTGCTCCACATTTATGAGCATATTTTCTTAAAACAGCTGGTCCACTCATCCACCTATCACTTGAATCTGGATTTGCAAAAATATATGTATTTGCTTCAGGAACAACTGCACTATCCTTTCAAATTGTCAGCATTATTTGAATATGCATGCGTTTGGTAAACAAATTTGGTACTGGTTTACTACCCTTTCCAAATACTACTACACGCTTGAAAGTAGCGCTCATATTTTTTTCTAGTTCACTCAGGGAACTTCAGCATTCTTCTTGATTTATGGCAGAGTTAGTACTTTGGTACGCTGCTATATTTAAGAACTGGACCTCTCCAATCCTTCTGTTGAAGATCACAAATAATACTAATGTACATTCAGAAAGAATTTTGTAGTTCGTTCTAATATCTTGATTGTTTTTCAAATTGTCGTAAGCCTCTTCTGCCAAGGTCCTTACGTATGTATTTAACGCTCTGATGTCCTCTATAAGTACTTTGTAAAACATGATGAACCTCCTTAAGATTAACCGATATGAAATATTTACTTACCTTCGTTTTTCCGATTCTGCACTAACTCACCCTCGTACGTTTACCCATTCTGAGAGCGATATACGAATGGAATACGTTCAGGCACTTACCCGCCGCCAAAATTTCTCAGATGTCGCTCCAAAATTGGCAACATTGTATGGTACCACAACGTCTAGGTCTTGACGCTATGGCATTTTGTATGTAGAATGGACTCAAGACACGGTTTCTTTTGCTTGGTTTCATAACGTTCTCGTATTATAGGAAGATTTGTATTAGAAAAAAGTTTCTGAAGGTGCTTGAGGTGTTATAACTTGATACGTAATGTTTCAACTGTATATACTTAATTATTCCTGTTAATTCTATATGGTCTAAGGTTGTCTGTAAGCTATAGTTGGTCCAGTAACGTTGATCATACAAATATATATATATATATCATCTCCACGTGGATAGGTCTTCCTTTCATAAACCAGCAATAAGTCACCTACCAGAAATACTGAATATATATCAAATTTAATTCGTGAATATCCGACACCAAGACACATTGATCCAAGATCAGTTAAAAAAACTGTACATTAACATTTCGGATTTCCACACAAAGTCCGCTATATAGGTCTCCCTTTCGAAAACCGTATGATGTGTCCTCTACCGGAATACCCTCCAGATAGCAAAGCGGCATTAGGTCCTCCAAAATACTCAAATTATCTAAACACCAGTGGATAAGTCCTCCGTGCAGTGGTGCCAAGTTTCAGTTATTTCTCTTAAGATAATACAATTTAAGTCTCCTAACTCGGGCTTGTATTATTCTATTACCTTCCAAGGATCTAATGCTAAAAGGTTTTTTGTTATAGATAAAATAAAGAAAAAATGTCGATTGGTGCTTTGTTGGGACTGTATGGCACGGCATTCTGAACTAATCCATTGACTCGAAAATGCGCCAATTTTAAATTAAATCTGACGAATGTCACTATTTTTTCCGAATCTTTAGTATGGTAGATCCCAAACCTTCTGTTCTGGTATTAGTGGTTTTATTTTTTCAACATTATATATTCAGATATGTATGATTACCTACGTAACTAAAATTTAAACTGATATTTTTTGGGTGTATCCTTCGCTCCTATAACCGCATGCTTGTCGTTTCCGAAGCAAAATACTATATGTATTTTACATACATATCATAAAAACGAATCAACTGATTTATCGTGTTAAGTAATTTAAATCTACATTTGCCATACTTTGGTGAGCCGTGTTATAGACATAAAATGAGATAAAGCCCTTATCCTAATTTTCTATTTTGAATTCAGATGTCTCATGTATGTATGAAGATTCCGGAGGATAACGAATATCAAAGGTTTTTTTTTGTTTTTTATATCGAAGCAGCCGCGCAGGCAGAAGCCTAAATGCCGGAACACCGCGGCTGCTATGATGATCCCAAAGAAATTTTGAAAATACGATTTTTGAACTGCCTAAGGTTAGTAGAACTAATCTTGTAGATTGTTCCACAATCTAGACACCCTCGGGACAAAGGAGCGGTCGTATCGGTCAGTTTTGGATGTACGAAGTTCGACACGGTTAGGATGGGACGCCAAAGTCGGACGGGTCTGTCTGGCAGGCACATCGCGCGGTGGCATCATGGAAGAGAACTCTGCGGAGCAAAGCCCGTTAGTATAGCGGTAGAAAAGAGCTAGATCGCCGATGGCCCGCCGGTGCGAAAGAGTCCCGAGAAGAGTCATCGATCAGTCGGACCGCCCTCCTCTGGACAGCATCGAGCATGGAAAATGTAGTCGAGGCGGCAGCACCCCAAACGTGTGAGCAATACTCGAGGCTAGGCCTTATCTGGGCCTTGTATAGAATGGGAAGATCGTGCGGAGAAAAGTACTTCTTAGCCCTAAACAAATAGCCTAGCTTTTTCCCAGCAGCTGCAGCTATTGACGAGACTTGTTAGTGCCAGATCAGGTCTTCGGTGATCTGGGCCCGACCAACCGAAATGGATGGCTCTTTGGCAGAACTCGGCCATCCAGCGAAACTGGATGAGCGCTAGGACGCTTTTTGGTTAGTCAAAGTACAGTACTGTGTTTTGGAAGCATTGAACTGTACAAGATTGGTGCGTTCCCACGCAGTGATAGCCTCCAGGTCTCTTGTCAGAGAGGGAGTCCTCGCTAGTCTTCTTTTTTCCACCTCAGCGGCAGATATCGGCTTGTCACTCTGAATTCCTGCATGTAGAGTGCTGTCATCAGCGAAGCTGTGGATTGGGTTGATCGTGCAGGAAAGGAGGTCGTGGATATGTAAGAGAAACTGTTGGAGCCAAGACCGATCCCTAAGGAACACCCGCGTTGACGTTGTGGGCATGAAGAGGAGAACCCGTCAATTACTAAGGATATCTTGCGGCCAGAGATAAAGTCAGCCACCCATCTGCAAAGCTTCTCTGGGAGGCCATAGGATGGAAGTTTGCTTAAGAGGCAGCGTGCCACAGCTGATCGAACGCTTTCGTGTTGTCAAGAGCAACGTCATGAGCCTCACCATAAGACTGGATGAATTCACTTCAAGCTGTGGCGTTCGAGGTAGTCCAGAAGCTCGCGATTTATGCACCTCTCCATCACCTCATTTATAACAGACAGCAGAGCTATAGGCCTGTAGTTGTAAGGGTCGATCTTAGATCCTTTTTTGGGATGGGTTGGACATGAGC